AAGTTATTAAAAAACAGTTTAATCTACAAGACCAAAAGCTCATGGACCTCATCTGTAGTTATTGTCTCAAAAAAGAATTGTAAACTATAGCTCTGTATTGACTACTGCAAATTAAATGCTATTACAAAAAGAGATGCTTACCCACTCCCGTGCATCGATAATATGTTGGAAACCTTTGGAAAGGCAAAGCAGTTTTTTAGTCTAGACTTGGCCAGTGGTTATTGGCAAATTGATTTAAACCTTAAAGATCAAGAAAAGATGGACTTCATTATCAAGCAAGGGGTTTTTGCTTTCAGGATGATGTCATTTGAGTTATGCAATACCCCAGTAACATTTTAATAAACAATGAATCAAGTTTTGAGTAACTTTATAAGACACTTTTTTAAAGTCTACTTAGATGACATAATAATTTATTCATATACTTACCAAGAATATTTAGACCACGTTCAACAAGTTCTTGGCAAAATCAAGGCTGCAGGGTTAAAACTTAACCCAGAAAAGTGTGAACTATTTAAACCTAAAATCAAGTTCCTTGAACATGTTATAGGGCAAAATGGTGTCAAACCAGACCCAACTAAAGTAGAAAAGTTAAAAAATTTCCTACATCAAGAAATCTAAAACAACTAAGGGGGTTTATAGACTTCACATCATATTACCAAAAGTTTATATCAGAATTTGCCACTATAGCTAAACTATTATATAAGCTACTAGAAAAAGGTGTCAGTTATGAGTAGGGGCCACAACAAGAATGGGCATTTATAACACTTAAGACATGCTTAACTTCAGCTTCCATCTTACAGTATTCAGATTACAATAAAATCTTTTACTTATACATAAATGCTTTGGGTATAGATCTTGGAGCTGTGCTAGCTTAGAAAGGAGAAGATAAAAAGGAGTATACTATAGCCTATGCTAATAAAAGTCTCACCTGCCCAAAAAGAAATTATGCAGCAACTAAGATAGAGTGCTACACTATCGTATGGGCTGTAGAGCATTTCTATAATTACCTTAGATACAAGCTCTTTGTGATAGTAACTAATCATAGCACTCTAAGATAGTTATATACTACAGCATTAAAGAGAAGAAGAGCTTGATGGATTTTATATTTCCAACCCTATAATTATACTATTGTTCACAGGGCAGAACATAAGCATAGTAATGCTAATTCATTATTCAGAATGATTGAAGAAAAATCCTACAATGAAGAAAATAAAGGAAAGGTAATTAGCTATTATCAAAAGCAGCTAATAAGAAGAATGCTAATAGGAAACATAAAACTAAACCTCCCAAGCCCAAAATAACAAAGTTGTCATGAAAGTAGAAGTTTTTAGGGTTATAGTAGAAAACTATTTCTCTGAGAACTTTGCTGAAGAAACAGATGTGATAGCCAGAAAAGAATATATAAAATAGGATGAAGAGAGTAATGATATGATAAGTGACATCAAATATACAAGCCAAGAGGAGGATTGGGAAAAAGAATTTACCCAAAATCAAGAATATAAAAGATACTACCAAAAACTTCTGGATCAATTAGCCACAAAAACAGGAAGAATATTAACCTGATCAACAAATGATGAGTACTGGGTTGAACTCTCTAGTAATAACATCCTAGAAGAACTCTAACCCATGAATGTCGATGAAGCCTACCTAATCAATATATCCAAATAGGGTAAGTCAGTTGCCAGATTAGAATTTGAAGATAATAACAATGATGAATAGAAAAATATAAAATATAATTATTATACCTATCCAAGTTCCAATTAATACAGATAGTACAATAACAAAAACAAAATCATTATCTATGAAAACCTTGAATTAGAAGAATGTAAACTAACTCTCAATACTTAAATCAATTGGAAATATTATTATTCCTTGTGATGTAAACATCTACTTTATAAAGAATAAACCAAGAAAAAGATTAAAAAATGTGGAAATCCTTAAATTAAACTAAAAAAAAAAATAAAAAAATAAAAAATAAAAAATAAAAGAAAAAAAAATAAAAAATAAAAAAATAAAAATAAAAAATAAAAAAAAAAAGAGCTATATACACCCTTAAATAAAACAACCTAACAAATTCTTATATGATCTTACAGATATGAATATCCATGAAATTTTATATAACTATCCGAATTTTTATTTTTATTATTATTTTTTTTCTCTTGTAATTTTTTTTATTTTTTTTATTCAGAACTAACATTAGAGTGAGGTTGGTTAGGATAGAATAGGGCAAGTTATGGGGCCCTATTCAAAGTATCAAAACAATACAAGAAGAATCAAGCTATTATTATTAGCTTGGATGAAGAAGATTAATTTTAAAGATAAAGAATTGAAATACCTTATAGTATATATTTAAAAGATGTTTAAGTAATTAGAAAAATTGACTTAGCAGTATACTACATTATCGATTTTAGCACTCATAGATGCTGAAATTAGCCATGTGACCTAAATGATTTTAAATCACCAAATGACATCGAATATACCAAGAAAATTGGCATATGCTAAAATATCCATGTAGTGTTGGATATTGCTATCAAAATGGAATTAAACTAAAACAAATGAGAAAGCTAAAAGATAGCTAAGAAAAGTAGAAAAACAACTACTTAGTAAAAAAACATTGGAAAATAGCTCAATTACATAATTCAGAAGCAAAAAAAAAAAAATTTTTTTTAACTATGACAGAATTAGATTGTTAAAAAGTTAATTATATAAAGCCGCAGAAGGCTGACCAATGACCAGAAAAAGCTAGTATTTACTAGAGTATTCATAATTGATACAAATCTGATTTAAAATTAAATTTAGTTCAGGTTGTCAGTATCTTGGTATAGAATTAGAAAGAAAGATAGATCAACATAAATACGCAGCTCTAAAAAATTATCTAAGAAACAAACAGTACCTGTTACACTTTACCAGTAACCAACAAAAGTGATTAGAAGCCCAGAGTTAATTTTTTATTATAAAGAAAGAAAATTTGTATAAGAAAAGTTGTCAGAAACCTTATGAAGTACTAAAAGTTCTACAAGAATATAAACTTGAAGCTATACTTACCCAAATTCACAACCATCTGACAGATGCCCACCTGGGCACAGAAATAATCTTTAATAAACTTCGTCATCACTACTACTGGCTGCAGATGTATGAAAACATATAGTAATATGTTAGATCATATGAAAGATTTCAGCAATAAGAAGAAAGAAAATCTAAAGAAAAGCCACATACTGTATCTATAGGGGCTCCATTTATAGAATAGGCATCGATATAGTTAGCCTACTCTCAGTCACAGCTCGAATGAACTGATATATCATAGTGGCCACTGACTATATGACAAAATGGCCAGAAGCACATACCCTGCAAAAAGACACAGCTGAAGAGGTGGCAAAATTTATCTACGAAGAAATTGTATGCTATTATGAATATCTCACATACTTCTTGTCTGATAGAGGCTCTCATTTTAGAAACAGACTTATTAATAATTTGTTTGCCTCTCTTCAAATTTAGTATCAGTATTCAAGCTCATATTACTCTCAGATGAATAGACTTGTAGAAAGATTTAACAAGTTATTGTAAACTTCCTTAGCAAAGCTAGTAGAAAATATAACCGATTGGTACCTATTAATTCAACTGATATTATTCACATTTAGAACTGCAAAACAAGCCTCCACAAAAGAAACCTCATTTTATTTAGTATATGGGTGAAGAGCCAAGTTACCTATACATTCCGCAAATTACTGAATTTGTTGAATGAAACGATCATCCAGAGAATATATTAAATTGGCCATGCTTTATATGAAGCCTGTGAGAAAGCATGGCACCAGATCCAAGTCATACAGAAAAAACAACAAGATTGATATGATCAATGTACCAAAGCCACACATGATTTCTCTATAGTTGATAAGGTTCTAGTTCTAAATTCTAGGATTCTGGAAACATGCAGCTACAAATTTGTACCCAAATAGAGAGAGCCATATTATGTATATGCTAACCTCATGAAAGAAGCATACAAGTTGTGCAAAATTAATAGGAGAGTCCTAGTGACACTTATTAATAAACAATTACTCAAACTATATTATGAGCAAAACTTATAAAAAGAGCAAAAAAGCTAGTATTTACCTAAGCATTCGTAATCAATACAAACCCGACATAAAATTAAATTCAGTCCAGGTCATTGATATCCTGGTACAGAATTAGAAAGAAAAATAGATTAACATAAATACTGTTACTAAAAAATTATCTAAGACGCAGACAGTACTTGTCATACTTTACCAAGGACTAATATAAGCGATTAAAAGCCCAGAGTGATTTTTTATCATAAAGGAGGGAAATTTGTATAAGAAAAGTCATTACCATATAACCGCGAAATAACGCACACGAGCGTTATTTCGAAAATTGCCCCTAAAAAATTACCATATTTGATTCGAAATAACGCACATGCGCGTCTCGTAATAACGCGCACCCAAGTAAGTCACGGGACAAATCAATTTAATATAAAAGGAATAATCAATGCGCATTCAATTTTAGACTCTTTTAATTTTTTTTTTTCTTTTAAATATTTTCATTTTACAAGATTCTAATATTACTGTATGCAAGACTTTCCCAAATAGTAGACTTCCAAGTACTAGACCCTGGTGCAAATCACAAGATTTTAATTAAATACGGATCTTTTCGAAATTCTAGCTTGCCTGTTATAAACGCAAAGTGTGCGCATTTCAAATTTTATATTATATCTCAATCACATACTATACCCGGGTCTACTAATAGGTCTTGATATTGGTGAAATATAAGAAACCCGGATCATTTATACGACAATTTATATTAAGAGCTTATCTACTTTGTTTTTAGAATTATGATATTAATGATTTTTTTTTGGTCGACCAAAATTAGTAGAAATAAGTTGATAACCAATACAAGAGATTTATTTTGTATAATTCAGTGTAAGTTGTTTCGAAGGTAAAGATAAGTTTGCGCATGATTTTTTTTTTTTATCTTTTTGCCTATTAATTCGGTTAACTGAATTTTGAACTGCGTACACTTCTAAGTTTTCTAAGTTGCTTTCTCAAAGTTTTATGATTATAAATTTCACCGTTAACAGAAAGAATTACGGTTTCGATAAATCTATTATTGGTGAACAATTGAAAGTCATCGACTAAAATTACCGGTAGGTAAATCTCTGCAAAAATATTTAGTAAAATAAAAATCCAAAAATAGATTTACTTACCAATATCAATTTACATTTCTTCATCGGTATCCATTAAATCCACAACCTCTACTTCGTTATGTGTCATATTTTCATCAAAATCTAACTCATCTCTTGAATATATACCTTCACCTTCTTCGATTTCATCATCTTCGCTTTCACTTTCACTTTCATCACCTTCATCTTCATCACCTTCATCTTCATTACCTTCATCTTCATTACCATCACCTTCATCTTCTTCGCCTTCTTCGTTCAATAATTCGTTTATATCGTCTACATTATTTTTGACTATAGCCTGAAGACGGGTTGATATTTTATAATCCTCACTTCCATCGGGGTTAAGTACAAGTCCAGCTGCTTCGAATGATTTGACCAAAATATCTTTACTAATTTCTTTCCAAGTATCAGATACCTATTTGCAAATGAGCTCATATGAGGCTTTTTTGCGAGATCCTTTTGCCGTGAATTCTTTCTCTCCTTCATCAATCCATTGATCCCATCTTTTTCTCATTCCACTTTTAAAAGGTTTGTTTACTGAAACATCTGGTGGTTGCAAAACACAGGTTGTTCCTCCAGATATTTCTAGAACATCTAAGCCTTCTGCATTTAATGCCTTAACTACATCATCACGTACATGGCTACGATGACCATCGACAAAAATTATACCTTTGCTTTTAAAAAATCCTTGGGGCCTTGCACGTATAACTCGCGGGATATAAGTGGAGGTTATTAAGTCTGCTCGCATATTTGCACAAGGTGATGGAATTACAACAATATCGCGTGGAAGTTTACCTTTAGGTTTTTTTTTTAGTTTAAACATCACTGCCGGTGGGAGCTTTTCTCCAGAAGCTGTAAAACCTAGAACTACCGTAAAACGTAACTTGTCATGCCCTGTACTTCTAATTGCCACTTCACGAACACCTTGAAAATCAAATGTTGAACTCTGGAGCATGTCAAACCAAACTGGAGTCTCGTCAAAAGAAATGATAAAATTTTTTTCTATATTTTTTGTTTTCTCGCGTGCAAGTTGAAGAAAATTATTAACTACTAAGGGCACATCCTCAGGAAACTTTTGTGCGATTTGAGTTCGAACACGTTCGACCAAATTATGCCGCTTTCTAAAACGTTCAATCCAGCCTCGAGAGAACTTGGCGTCAATATTTAAGGTCTTTCCCAACTCCTTTGCTTTGTTTTGAATCATATGAGTTGTAACAGCAAGTTTTTCATCTCATTTTTTCTTGATATAATCTACTAGATCTTTTTCTAAATCAGGATATTTCGCCTTACGACCGCGACCGCTAAGAACACGCGCCTTATTTATGTTTAATTTTTTATTATTTTTAACAGCCTCTAGCTCTGACTTTTGTTTTCGTCACTCTTGTACACGTCTTCGATTAACATTATAAAATAATGATGCCTTACGATTAGATGTGGTTTCTGCATACGAGATCACTTCAAGTTTGAGTGAAACAGTGTAGCTTCGTTTTTTGTTCGTGTCCATTTGTAAATGAGGTAAAATTAAAGTGAAAAAAAATGCAAAATCAGCATTTAACACGCATACTTAAAGGGGTACCGTGATGATTCAAGATGTGTTACAAAAAAAAAAAATTCAAAATTAAAATTTAATCAAAAAAAAAACAAATTTTTTTTTTTTGCATAACTAGGTGTGGTTTCGTTCTTCTAACTCTAGTACGATTACTAAAAGATGCCCTTTGATTCAAGAAAAATAAGGATCCTGCTTTTTTGTTTGAGTTTGTTCTTCTTTTTATCCATTCTTAAATGTTGTTCATTACTCAATTTTTGTCTTTATATAGTGATCAAGACAAGAAGAAGGGTCCAGCTTTTTTTTATTCTATTCCTCCTTACGTGATCGCTAAAGGATTTACTTAGACTATTTATTTTTACATTTAATTCGTTTCATAGTAGTAAAAAGCGATTTAACTTTTTTTTTACAAGCAGGTTATATTATTTGGTTTTTTGGGTGATCAATGTAAGATGCTTTAAGTACGTTTTCATGAGGTTTTATTTTTTCAAAAAAAATTTCGATAAAAAAAAAACTCAAAAAAAAAAAGCGAATCATGCAAAGTTCTAACACATTTGACCAGTGCCTTGAAAATAAAATGTAATTGTTCGTTTCATTAAATTTTGCCTTGATAAGATCCAAAAAAAAAAGTTCATTATGAAAGGTTTTACTTTTTATATAAGTTGTAAGTTCAAATAAATAATCGTTTGTATACAAAAAAAACTTCATACGTATGACAGTTTTAAAATTTTAATTTATACTAATATATCGCTATTTACCTTTATACATATGCAGTAACGCCCTCTGCCTATTTTATGCAGGTATATCTAATCGGGTTAATTAACAATTGCACAATAATTTCTTGTATAAATCTTGTTTGCTCTTGGCTATTTCCTATTACATCGTATTAATACACTTATACCCCTATGCGCGTTATTTTGAAACATACCTATTTCAGAAAATCAATCTTTTATTTCGAAATATCGCACATGCGCGTCCTGAAATAATGCACAGGTGAATAAATTAATACGCAGGGGTGCGTTATTTCGCGGTTATACGGTAATTATTAATCAGATTAGAAAAATTGTATAATTTATTCATATATAACCTTCTTATATTTACTTTAATAATAAACCCATATATGAATATAAACTAATTAATTAAAGCTAGAAAGTTTTAATCTGGGTGATCAGTACTAACCATCATTAATCAGATCAGAAAAATTGCATTATTTATTCGCATAATAACCTTATGTTTACCTTAACAATAAATCTATATGTGAATATATACTCAATTAATTAGGTTTCAATCTTGGATCAATGCTGATCATTATTAATTCAGAAAAATTGTATGATTTATTTATATAATAACCTCCTTGCATTATTTTAATAATTAACTCATATATAAATATAAACTAATTAATTAAGGCTATTCTAGGCAATTAATACTAATTATACAATATATAGTAATTAAAAGTATTATCATTATTATTATTAAACAAAAAAATTATTACTTTATTTATAGATTTAAATAAAATTTAATTATATATTACATCATTGCTAAAACACTATATTTTTTAAAATGAATTGGTAAAAATACTCAAAAAAGAACCACTAATACTCAAGCTATTTACGTTTGGGAACTCTTCTAACTCATAAGCATCATTAAAACACAATTTAAGCCTAATTCTTTGAAAAATATACATACAACATAACAAGCCCCTATAACGAACTCCAGATATAAAGAATTCAAAATTTCAAAACTTCATATAGTTCGATATAAAAAGTGCCATAGATCCTTAAGAAAATATAATAATTTTCTATAACTTCCTTTTTTCTTCCAGAACTGTCAGTTTGTTATTAGTTATAGAAAGAATTGATATAGATTAGAGCTCTGCAAAGCACACTATTGAAACGTAGTGCTAGGTACAAGCACAGGCACTAAGTTTTAATAGTATACCAACACTTGCGGAACTCCAATATAGATTAGTAAAGATGTCAAAAGAACAAAGTATTATGAAGTAAATTCACTATAGAAATGACTTGAAGACAAAATTTGATTTATATCCAAATAGTATACATACTATGTCTAAAAAAAATAGCAATTTCATACTTTAGAAAATAGCTGAATTTTGAAAATTAAAGATAAATGAAAATACGTATCTTTAGTCCCAGTAAATACCCAGATACATCTATCAGCACTTAATGGTAACATTTCTACTAATACCTAAATATATTTACATTTGGCCAACAACAGAACTTGGGTCTCCTGCCACCAGTTAACTATTGTGCATCACTAATACCTAACTCAAACCCAATTTCTAAAAAAAAAAAATATAAATTAGTAAAAGTGCTTAAAAAATGAAACAAACCATTTCTATAATACCCAAGCTCCCCTTGTCAACAACAGACACATTCAAGAACTAGATTTTCTGTAATCAGCCAACTTATATGTATCTCAATACCAACTCAGGCTCAAATCCTAGAATAAAAGGTGTTATAGGTTTGTGGTATAGGTGACTCTTTTAATAAAATGTATTATTAATAAAGTGGGGTACCTATAATGCAAGAGATCCAAGATTTTTTAAGCTCATCAAGAGTAAAATCGATACTGAGCTAACTTGTTGAAGTAGTAGGATTAAAAATGTATCACGTGATTATATTAGGACCGGTCCCAGACCGGTTCTAGACCGGGACCGATAGGACCGTATAACCGACGTAAAGACCGTCTTAGGACCAGTCTTTTGCAGGACCGGTGCATCCCTAGTTTATTGATAGTTCGGTAGTACTTCAGTAGTACAATAATGATGATCTTAATTACCAACATGATTATATAATAAAATAAAAAGATCTATACTCTACCCTTAATAAAATTATTTAAAAAATATATAATTATATATTTTTTTAGGTACTGAACATATTTTACTTAAAAATAAAAATA